CCCCCCGAAAAAACCCCCCCCTTCCATTTGCCCGGGTGGGTTTCCCCGGGCCCCGGGGGAGGGGGGGTTTTTTCCCAAAAAACCCCGGTTAACTTGAAAACCTTTCCGGGGCGGCCGTAAAATCCCTTTCGCCCGGATTTCCCCCCCCCGAAAAAAGAAAGGGGGGGGTTCAAAACCTCCTTCCCGGGGTTCATTTTTTTGAAAACCCCCCCGGAAGGGGGCCCCCCCCCCCCAACCAAAAAAAAAACCCCTGGGCCCTTAAACCCCTTTTTGGGGGGGGCCGGTTGGGGGGTTTTCCGGGGTTCTCCCGTTCTCCTTCCCACAAAACAAATACCCCCGGTTTTCCCTTGCCGGGGCCTTGGCCCCCCCCCCCCCCCCCCCCCCCACCGCGAACGGTGCGACCTTCAAGGACATAAGAGTCGATCGGGACTTGTCGGAAGCAGCGATTCGTTGCTGCTGACGGGTGGGCCACGTCGCAGATTGTGTGACCCCGCTTGACGGACGATGGAAAACAAGCTCCAATCAGAGACAAACACCCTGGCGGCGACGCCACCATATGTGAACGTGTGCAAGCGGCAATTGCCCGCTTGGCGCCGCCGCCGCCGCCGCCGCTGGCTTGCCTTCTTGAGAGTCACGGTGATGGTGCCGTTCTCGTCGCTCGGGTCGTACACCGCCTTGCAGCTGCCGTCGTCGTCCTCCCCCCCGACCTCGTACGGGAGCGTCAGCCTGCGGGCGGCGGACGGAGCGACGAACGCACGTGCGGGGGCAAGCAAGATGACAGCGTTTAGATTTGTATGTCTACTGTACCACTGCTGAGGACTAGCTCAGTGTCATAGTTTAAAAGACGCATTGCCAAAGTTTAAGAGACGGTTACATGACACATTATTGGCCGAAGAAGAGACACGAGACACGACAACGTCCAGGGAATATTACTGGTTTCCACCACGACTGCTGTCTTGACAAAGATGATTTCCCCCTGTTAAGTGTTGACGCTTGTGGCGGACCCAAAATCCTCATGTTTCTGCTTGGGTCCATGAGATTATCACCAACGCAAACCCCATTTCTTGGAACACTATTCTCGGTAGATTCGAGAGCCCAGCACCAACGCGTCGAAGGAAAAGGTGACCTTTGTTTACAAAAGGTTCCACCTCCCCAATGTTCTTCGAGGATGATGCGCCCTAGTATCACCTTTGGTGGCATCGCGGTGAGATGTGTGACTGCGGTGAAAGATAGCCCATCAGTAGCCGCAAACACGGTGGAAATACCGACCGGGCCTCATTTTTCTCGCCGCTGGCTAGGGTGGCAAAAGATGCTGTGGATAGCATCCACTTTCGGAGCCATTCCGAAACCATTCGATGCTCTGCCGTGCTCTGACGTGAAGGTTGGAGGTTGGTGTTCGAGACCCAAGAGTAAAAAAAGGTGGGTACATACATTTCAGGCTGGGTGCACACAGACAGAACAGAAAAACATAGGAGAAGAAGTGAGGGGGGCGACAACGATCTGCTGTAGACGCCGCGGACGGGGCAGGTCTGGGGACGGAATGGGTGCTCTTAGAATTTGTTGATGACGCATGAACGGTCTCCTGCTGCAGCAAACTATCAGATGGCAACATCAGAGATCAGGAGGATCAGAGGAACCACGGGGTAACACATACTGCTCTCGGGTTGTTATAATATGGGAAAAGTCGACGTTCAAGATTTTCTGCCCCGGGTGCAGGAATGGGCGCATGCACAGCAGTCCATGGATGGTGCAAGAGCAGGAAGAGCAGGCCGCTGTTGGGGAAGCCCCATCTACGCATACATAGGTGTGCGGGCATAACACCACGGCCGTGTTGGGCAGAAATATCAAAAGCAGCGGCGCTGCCTCGCCAGTCGGCGGCCAGCAGAACCGCACGCGTCAACGGCCGTCGGCGTATTATGGACGGAGAGGCAAACAGCGTTGCAGCGTTACTATAAGGGCCAGCTATGCATAGTCACATGCATAATCACATTGCTCTAGTCTACAGCAGTATTGTAATAGCCAGCTACAGGACGTGCTGCATACTCACCGGAGTAGGTAGGGCTTGCAGTAGAAGGAGAACTCCGTCCCATCCACGTGCGTCTCCGCGCTCCCTACGCGAATGTGCGGCACCTTGATGCACACCACCACGGCAAGGTCCGTCTGGGACACCTTGAAGCGCGGCGTCGCAGGCATGTTGTCGTCGCCCCCCTTTACCAAACACACAATAACAAAATCTTCAACACCCGACGCGACGAGCTGTTGTGTGCGAGAAGAGGTCACGCCGCAAATTCAAGGCACAGCAACCCTGTGTACGAAAACACCGACGCCCCGCTCCTGGGCGCGTACGGACGTGTGCCTCCCTATTGGCCACCAGGCCAGCTTACTCCGATTCGCAGACGCCTCTTCACGTTGCCACCTCTCCTCGCGCTCTTGCTGCCGCTCTTCGCACCATTCATCGCGAAACGGGAAGCCCTGTGGCGGCACAGTCCCGTGGGGTGGGGCGAGCCCAAAACTGTTCTGGTTTTTTGGTTCTGTTCTACGGGGGGAAAGTACCGGGGTAGATGTGGTTTTTTTATGTTTTGGGACGGAATGTGTTGGCTCGGTGTGATTTGAAAGTTCAAAACACATTCCACAGCTTGCAACCAGCGCCACCTCGTCAAAAGACACCCCGCTCACTTTGGCAGTGCTCTCTCTCTCTCTCTCTCTCTCTCTCTCTTGCAGGTTGGCCAGAACAACAACCCCCAACCGCACACCAAAGCACGGCCTTTCCGTTCTTCGGGAGGGCGTCATCGTATCGCCAGGCTCAGTGACTTACTTCTTTTGGGATAAGCGGCGAATCCCACCGGACTTTTGGCGGCCTGCTTTTTGGGGGAAGTGAAGGATGAAGCTCTTGGTGCCGCTATACATCTACCCTCTCCGTGATGATTCTCTCGGTGAGAACGAGAAAACAAGTCGCGTACTTTTTGGGCCAGAGGTTGTGTAGAGGGCGAGCGTTCGGCGGCCTACCCTGCTGTGTCCCCTGGCTCCTCTTCCCGTGCGATACAGCGATGCTGTACACTTATTTTCGCCGCCGATTTGTATCATATGCGTATCATCACCCACCCGTTGTGCTTTCTTTTGCTCTCTCTCTTCTAGATGGATCTTGGCAACAAGAGAGACACGTCGGCACCCAATCACTCCCCCTTTCGTGGTGCTATGTAGCTGTTCCATGAATTCTTCACACGTGCGACCGACCTCCTAGTTAACCCCCCTCCGTCCTGTCTCTATCTCTCCGACCAGGGAGAAGGCGGCAGCCCCCACCTTTTTCTCCCGATCAAGTAACTCGAAACACCTGCAGTCGTTTGCCGCCAAACTGGGTACACGGCGGCGAGCATCTCCTTTCGTCTGTATTTGTGCTGCACACATGCCCGCAGCGGGCGGTGCACTAAATACTACGCTGTTCTCAATTCCTTGCCGTCGGATCATCCGTCACCGAACTGCTGTTGGCACGAAAAATGGCTGGTACCTGGCCGTCACGTATGTAGCTGATAGTGGTGGTCGATGGGAGAGCACACTACTCAATCTCTCGGTGTGTGCGGTACTCACCAATTGCTTCCCGTTCCGGCCGACCCTCCCTTTTTGTTGGGCCGGCAACCATTTAGATTTTTAAGTTTCGGACTGCTGATCGGTTTCCGACTTTTAAAATCTAAATCTTTTACCGGCTGTTGCTGTTTGCTGTTGTTGCTCTCGTTGATCAGCACGTCGGTGGTTGTTCTTCGTCACGTTGGGAAACCGTTCCGATCTCTCCATCCAGTACCTTCGTCTGTCCAACTACAGCAGTACATACATACTGCTGTAGATATATGAATGTGTACGTTGTCATTAACTGACGCGGTCGATCCCCGCGGTCACAGGCTAACTTACCCGTAAGAGGTGGTATCCTTCAAAGGAAACATGCAGACACTTTCTCCTTGTTGGGGCCTCCTATTTGATAGTGAGGCCTTGGGTAGCAGTAGATTGCTTTCCATTCTATTCCGCTGATCCTCATTACCTATATGCTGTAGGTAGATAAAGTGGGAGAGACAGAAGAGAAAAGGGTCCCACTTGCTGCCTACTTCCCGCATCGCAGACGGGCGGTTGTTTGATATTATGAGTATCCATTATACTACGAATAGATTCGCTGATTCGCCCTCTATTCGTTTAACAACCGGATTGAATGTTGCCCGCTGTAGTGCGTGTGTGCGAGATTTGAAGTTTTGTTCCTAAAACGGTTGGTCGACCAATATAGCAGTTGTAGACGAGATAGATCGGCGACATCGACTGAGCGTTCGGGCTCCGGTGCTTCCGTAAGACAGACTTCGTTAGCATACGGTCCGGCGATCCGTGCACCGATATCGTGGTGATTATGCGGGAGCGAGCGCATGCTCTCGAATCCGAAAACACCCCGGAGAAACAAAATAGATGTCAGCTCGAGGGTTGCAGAACCTTCTTGCTGGGCATCTTACGAGGTGTCTTTCGTGGCCACGTGGCCACAGCAGAATCGAGAATCGAGTACACTACAAAACCCATGGTAAAGTATCACATGTAATAAGGGAAAAAATGCAGGGCACCTACCGCCGTGCCTACCTGTAGGGGTACAGATCCACAGTGAAACACTCGGAGCACATTCCCGGTTATTTAGAAGTGTGCTCCCTGCCCGAGACATGGGGTGAGACTCTGGAGCGGTACAGCAAATCTTTGACAATCCGAAACTTTGTACTCGGAGTGTACCCTAATACCGAACCCGTTGCCTCCTGCCACCACCGCATGTACGTGGAACACCAATAAAAAATACGGAGTTTGCGAAGAGCTGTTTCGGGGTTCTTGATTGTGGTGTGCATGTGTGTATCACGATTTACCTTTCTTTTCGATGATATCGAGGACCGAAACCATCCAGCGGGTCTTCGGATGGTGGTCTGTCGGCAAGCAAGCTGAATTGCGCCCCTATTATAAAGGCCAGAGTACGATGACCCGTTGGCCGTCGCAGGTCTGTTCTTTTTCGGAACTACTGATATTAATGTAATCATGCTTATTGGCGGAGTGCCCCTAGGATACCCCTCGAGGCTCCGCGCGCACTGCATGCAGGGCACAAACTAAACTATTTCTTCGTGTATGCGATGGGCCGTTTCGAGGGAGCGCAGACTCTGCAAGAAACACTGGCTGAATAACTACGAGTGGCAGGCGGATAATTATCAAGAGGTCCGTTTGCACACGCCCCCTCACTAAACACCGTTGCTGTTGTTGTTGTTGTGTTTTTCCTGTTGCAACTGCTGTTTATTTCAAGAATTCCAGGGGTGTGTTTCGCCGCGGTTCGACGTGTCACGGCATTTCCAATCGAACGGAACCGGTCCGTGACAAGAACGAAAACACGCTCGGCGACCAAAATAGCTCCGCTCCGTGGCACGATCGAAAAAGAAACAAAACGCTCCCGCTCTGTGAGAAATTATACATGTGTCCTCGCTCGGACAACCTCGCCGTAGAGAACCGACAATTAGACAAGAGACAAGCGTCGTCAACCAGTCCGGTCAACACAACGTTACTTGATCCTCTCATCCCGAGAGAGAAACTACCCACAGGGATTGTGCACATATCACACGACCCGGTCAAGGAGCAGATTGCGCACACACAGCTCAGCGTCAGCGAGTGCCTACTGGTACGCGGTATAGACCCTCGCCCCCCCCCATCCACTTGGAGGGGGCATGCCGCTGATCCCGGTCCCCAAGAATGATGACCCACTGGTCGACGACAGAATTCTTACTACTCTTGGGGTTGGTTGCGACACAGCAAGCAATTTGAGAAGTGTCCATTTCGGCGACAAACACCCCCCCCAACAGCTAGCATACGCTTCTCATTTTTTTTTTTTCGTCGTGCCTGCCCTCTTGGGGGCTCTGCGATCGACGATGTTTTCTTCGGCGGATGTTCCCACTTCTACCTCGTCGTCCCGTCTTGAGCTCGGCGCTACTGTAGTCTTTGAAGGCAACACGCGGTGCATCTTATTCTCTCGGTAAACATTTTCTTAGCGGCGGGCCGCGGCTGTTTCAGACGCGGCTGGTTTGCTGAGCCCCTCCATTGACAAAGTCTCGGTTGTTTTTCTGAGGTAGGACGCAACCACATACTACAGAGAAGCCTGCGACATGGCGGGCCCATTTGTCGACTTTCCGCGATTCCGCGAAAAAAAGGGCACATCAGTTTACGTATTTTTTTGTTCTTGAGCCATATCGTGCTGAGAAGGCTCAGCAGGCATCGCCTACGTGTTTCTCCGCATTATCGTGCCGAGGTCCCCCGATATTTTTGTGACATGTTACCGGGCAGGCGAGGTAAACTGTCAACCCCCGACCAGATTACTCGCCTTTTCTTGCGTCCAACCTTTCTTTCGTTGGGGATACCAATTTCGCAAGAAACTGTCGCCCTCTCAAGTCACTAACGGCAAGTCACTAACGGCAGACACACACAACCCTTCGACTTCCAAGCTTGCTTGCGTTTTGTCCCGCTACGCAGACGGCTTGAACGTCTTTCATTCCTTGGTCAGCCGGCGATGTAGCACGGTCGGCGCTGCTATAATTCAATAACGAGCGAGGTCAATTTAAAAAAAAAAAAACACACCCACACACACACTCGCACTTGTCTAATCGGCGCTGCGTGTGTCGGTACTGTCTTTGTCTGGCGGCGCGTCTAATCAGCGAGGGAATGGCAGGAGATGAAGGACGCGGGCGACGCCGGGGTGTCGGTGGTTGCGATTGCAAACCCGGGGTCCGGGCCGGGCACGGAGGGGGACCGCGGACCGTACTCGAAGGGGATGCAGGCGCTGCGCGACAGCGGTGTTGAGGTGCGTGTTTATTGTTTTATTTTCTTGGTGAAAATTACTGTTTGTTCCTGTCGGCTGGTGACACCGGCCATGCATGAACCTTGTCCTGGTCGCGTGGGTTTAAAGGGAGAGAGAGGAGTAACCGCATGCTGTGCAAACAAGACGTTTCGAAGGTGATGATTTTTTGGCGACCGATTAGATTGGCGTGTATCAGCACGCCACACAAACGTCTGCGTGCATTGTACAGGAACGTTTTCGGTAAGTCTAGAACCTTGCAGCGCTCGGCGCCCAATAAATCCAGCGATGAGTTCTGGTTTTTTGTGATTCCAACGAGGCACACGAATACGCCCCCTCCCCCCAACCCCGGCGTTGCCACAAATTACCTGTTCATCTCCTCGTCTTCGTTTCTCGTTGCGTTTCATCTGGTGTTCCTTTTGGCTCGGTTCGGCAAAAGGTGATCGGCTACGTCGCGAGCGGGTACGGCAGACGAAGTGAGATCCAGGTCAAGGCGGACATCGACCGGTACAAGGTGAGCGGGCATTGACTTGTGGGTTTGGACCCAGTCGAAAGAGAGTGGGACGGAGAGACAGATGAATGCGGAGGAAGGCTTTTGCAAGCAGGCAGGCAGTAGACGACAGACAAACGGATGCATGGATATGGACGACACAGGAGTAGTCAGCAATTTGCAGACGTTTCGAAACTCACATCCGGCGACAGCAACGGCGGCGTACATTTTTCCAAGCCTTTGAGAGGATGGCTTTTGCTTCGACCTCGGCTTAGCGGAGGGGTTTCCGCGAGCGTTAGTTGGCCTTTCCCGGCACGGGGACGCGTGCAGCTTAGTTTCGCTTGGCCTCGATGCAGCAGGACACAACACGGTGGTAGTCCCGATGTAGGCCGGTACTTTGTTATGGAGCCGATTTAACCGGCATTGTTGTGCAACGGCACACGGTATTATTCAGCGTATCGAAACCACTTGAACCTTTCCGCCTGTGTCACGAGATTTCATTGGCATTATGTTGGGACCATTAATGCATTAGGACACAAACAAATAAATACAATCATCAACTCGTATATATCCCAAGAAATGACCCTATCGCGTCTTGTCGTGCCCTCCGTTGACCCGCTTCGGACACGCATTCTGCTGTGCCGCCCTCCCCCCCCCCCCCCACCCCCTGGATTTGCGGCGTCGATAATTCGCCAGGAGTGGTACGGGGAGTGGTTGTCGGGAATCTTCTTGGACGAGGCCGCGTGCGTCTTCGACGACGCCAGCGATGGGGACGGAGCCATGTGCGCCAGGTACCGGGGGTACCACCAGCGCATCCGGGAGCTGATGGGAGACTCGGCGACGGTGAGGGCGCGAAAAAATCTTTTGAGAGAGTGGCATTTTTTTTAAAGGAAGAAGCGGAGATTGACACGGTGGGCCCCGAGATAGGCTAGGCGATAGATTTGTTTTCGGGATTCACGATACCTTCGTATCCTCCTCCTGGGACAAGACAGGGGTTGATGTCGTGGTTTGTGGTATGACCTGCCCCCTTCCGATGACGGCAACCACGAAGCCAGAGGGCATGAGCTTGTTTCCCCCCACACATCCATATATTTCATACCAGTGAGGGTATGGACGCCTACCCAGCCAACGGAAGCCTGGTGACATAATCTTTGACGTTTCTAGTCGGAAGCCTAACGCGCCCTACGACTGTTCGGATACAGCAGTTTGCTTCATTTATGTTTTCATCGATTCCGCCTCCCCCACAGCAGTACCTCCACCACTGACGGAACAAGTGGTAACTGTCACACGTACGCATCTCGACGCCTTCGAGGACAAAAACAAACAAAAAAATAATAATAATTTTATCACAGGTGGTGATGAACACCGGGTCGATGATCACGGAAAAGGCCCTCACGGACGCCCTGGGCCCCGACGTGGTCTGGAACGTTCTCGAGAACAGCCGGTCGTCGCTGGAGAAGGACTTCGGCAAGGTCGCCACTACCTTCACCCCGATCACCAAGAAGGTCACCGCTACCACCAAGAAGAAGAAGACGTGGAAGATGATGCTCGGCTGCGGCGGCGACGCGAACGCCGTGGAGGGGCCTAAGGTGGTGGAGGGGACCCCGCCGGCGGCACCGCCGCATGTGCAGGGGAGGGCCGGGTTCATGGTCCACGGGGCGGCGAGAATGTCGTACGAGGTGGGATGGACTTTAGAATATTCCGTTCGTGGAGGGGGGGTGGGGGGGGGGGGGTCTCCCCGCACCAGGCTCTCACGTCTCACGAGGGGGGGAGGGGGGCGGGGATTTTGTTTCCCACTGGGCCCCGTTTCGTAATCCCCCCCCTTTGGTTGCCCCCCACCCGATGGCCGCTGTTCCCAGGTGCTGGGTGCAAGCAGGGCCCGGACCATTCTTCCCTCCGGTTTTTGGGGGCGGGGTTTCCTGGGGGGGGGGGTTTTGTTTGTCTTCCTGCGGGAGGGACCAGCTCCAGGGGTTTAGCGCGTTGGCGACCGGAGGGGGACCCCCGTTTCGAGACCCCCTTCCTTACCCCCGAAGACCCCCCCCCT